GAATTACAGAAATAGAGTGCAAGGGGACCTTAGAGATCATTTAGTCCAACCCCTACCTGAAACATGAATCTCTCCTACAATATCCTTGAAAAATGACCTAAAGATTTTGTAATGAGGAACTCATAACCTCAAGAGAAGCTCATTCTACTTTTTCTACGTCTCTAATTGTTAGGAAGCTGTTCCTTATAATGAATCAAAATTAATCTCTTAGCAACAATCTCCTATTTGGCTTCCTTGCTTCTAGGATCTCCTCTTCTCCAATCCATCCTCCATGCAGCTAGATAATTAATCCATAACACAAAGGTCTGACCATATCCATCTCTTACTAAGAAATTTTTGAGGTTCCTTGAAGACAAAATGCAAATATTTTTGCCTGTCATGTAAAGTCCTCCACAATCTGTCTCCCACCTTCCTTTCCAGATTCTTCCATAATTTCCCTCCACACAGTCTACACTGTAGCCAAATTGATCCATTTGTTTTTCCCTAAACTCAACATGTCCTATCAACTAACTTCTGCCTCTTCAAATCTCCCTTTAAGGCTCAGTTAAAGTGGAAGTTCTTATTCAAAATCATTTTTGATGCCCCCATTTGTTAGTAAGTTTTCTTCTGAACTGTGTGTGTGTGTGTGTGTGTGTGTGTGTGTGTGTGTGTGTGTGTGTGTGTGTGTGTGTGTGTGAACTCTTTGGATACCGATATCTAAGGTCCCTTTAAGCTCTAAAATCCTATGAGCCTATATTTATCCTTCCAGTTAAATGTAACAACAACATAGGCACTAATTATTTGTCTTTCTATTTGTAGCATGTAAAACAATGTCTTTTGTATAGAAGGCACTTAAATGTTCTTTTTTCAAAATGAAAATAATTATCATGTCTCAGATAACCCAAAGTTTTTTCTTCGTTTTAAAACTCCTTAGTTCCTTCACCAATCCTCATATCCATGAATAGTTTCCATGCCTCTACACCATCCTTATTACCTTCTCTGTAAATCCTCTAGCTTATCAGTGGCCTTCCTAAAATGTGCCATCAAGAACTGAACTCAGTGTTCCAGACGTGGTCTGAGTAAAATGTGGCAGCCCTATCACCTCCCACATTCCAAATGATTCTATTAATGTAGACTTAAATCACAGTAGCTCTTTTGGTTCACATTTTAAACTGTTGATTCATGTTAAGTTTGCATTGCACTAAAAACATGAACTACTATCTACCCAAGGCTTACGCATCTGACCTGTTTTAAAAATCAAACATGGAATTTTTCCATTTGTTCCTATTAATTTTCATCTTATTAGATTTGGCCTATCATTCTAGCTTGTCAAGATACTCGCAAATTGCATGCCATCTTGGGGTCAGGGGAGGGGAGAGATGGAGAGAAAATGTGGAACTCAAAATCTTATGGAAGTGAATGTTGAAAACTAAAAATTAATAAATAAATTTAAAAAAAGAATGAAGGACAAAAAAAGATCTTGCAAACTCAATTCAGGCATATAATATATTAGTTATATCTCCCTTCTTTACGTTATTTGCAACTTTCATAAATATGCCCTCTTTGCCTTCTTCCAAGTCATTGATAACAATGTTTAATGGTCCAAAGAAACATCACTGGAACACTAGAAACCACCCCCCCAGTTTGATATAAATGCATTAATCACCAATATTCTGGGTCCAGTCATTCAACTAGCTTCTATTCTATCTAACTGTAAACTTTGTCCAGCCCACATTTTTCTCTTGTGCACAAGCCTGTTTTGAGAGAATGTGCCATGATTCTTTGCTGAAAACCAGGAATACCTGCCTACACATTGTATTTATCTATCAGTCAAATAACATTATCAAAAAGAGGAAATGAAGTTAGTCTCTCATTGCTTGTGCTCAATAAACCCTTGCTGGCTCAGAGTGATCATTTCCCTAAGTGCTCACAAACCATTTAAAAAATAATGTTCTAAAATTTTTGCCAGGAACTAGAATCAATATACTCCAAACTATTTATAGCAGGACATTTTATGATAGCAAAGTCTTGAAATCAAAGTAGATAACCATCAATTGAGGAATGTCTAAACAAATTATGGTAAAGGAATGTAATGGAATATTACTGTACTAATAAATATGAAGAATTCAGAAAAATATGAGAAAACTTATATGAACTGATACAATGTGAAATAAGCAGAACCAGGAAAACAATGTGTGATGACAACAACAATAGAAATGGAAATAAAAAAAGAACACTATTTAATTACAATGACCAAACCCAATCCTGAAGAAGAAATATGAGAACACACCTACCTCCCTTCTTTGCAGAGGTAGAGGACTATGGGGCACTGCAACAATTTTTTTAAAAGGAAATTTTTTAAAAATGCAAGTGGGGCACTGGGGCAATACTTACAAGTAACCACCTTCAATTTTATTATTATTTATAATATAATGTATAGTACAAAATAGAGCCTTGGAGCCCATTAACTTTAGAGGCAGTGCAGAGTAGTAAGCAGTTGGATCAATGGACTTGGAGTCAGGAAGACCTGTGTTAAAAATCCCGTCTTTAGACATTTATTCACTGTGTCATTCTGGGCAAGTCGCTGAACTTACGTGGACCTAATTTTCCTCCTTTGTAAAATAGAGGTATAGGGGTTGTAGATTCTAATTGCCTTTAACATCCTTTTTGGCTCTGAATTTATGATACGGGAGCAATTATTATTTCTACCACTATATAAATACACTTCTGCCTTTCCCTATTTCCCTTTCCAGAAAAGGAGAGGATCGGGAGACATAACTATTTCTAATTGCCATTCTCAGCTCTGGTCACTCAGGGTCTACATCTCACCAACATACACTCACCTCCCTAGGACAACATGTAATGATTTCTTGGTCCCATTGGAGTCCTATATTCTTCTTTTTGGCAATATCCTTTCTCTCAGAGCAGTGAGTGATAAAGATATCAGCAACTAGAGCTTATCTTTTTTTTTTTTTTTGGTGGGGCAGTTGTGTGAAACTGAAGGGTGGGGAAAGAAGTTGAATGAGGCCTAATGTCTTATAGGAATCCATGGCAGGGAATAAGAGGGGACAAGGAGACCTGAAAACAGGGAAGGTCTGAAAATTATATATTAGGAGAGATGTTCATCAGATTGTGGCATAATGAAAATCCCTGAAGTGAGGGGATCTGGATTCTAAGTCCAGGTCTGCCTTTGACCTTAAGCAAGTCACCTCAGATGTAATTTAGGGGATTATATTTGATGACTCTGAGATCCTTTTCAACTCTGAATCTGTGAATCTATTATCTCTCTGGGTCTCAATTTCCTCATCTGTTAATTAATGTTGCTGAATTATATTATCTGTAAGGTCCCTTCAGGCATTGTTCTATGACTCAAGTACATCTCACGTGGCAGATACAGCGACAAAGCAGTCAGAGTTTCTGCAGTCTGTGTCTGAGACACCTACCAAAGGACTGATTACAGCTATACTCAATATGGAAAAAGCTATACTTCATTCTTTAGTTATTTCACTTGTAACTTGAAATTTAAGGGCAGGAATAATTTGGGTTGGGGTGGAGGAAGAAGAGCAAGGAATCTTGATAAATATTGGTAACAATACCTTCAGGTATGTGGAACAGAAAGACCCAGGATGAATTACATGCTGCCAACAGCCAATATCCTGCTGGCATTGATTAGGGAGTAGAAGGTTGCTGTGACTGCCAGACTAGGTGGATAGCCATCATTCTGGAATTTCAACTACTCAAAGAATATATCTATTTTTTTTTAAGTTAATGGCTCACTGACTGATGGATCAATGAGACAGGGAACAGCCTGAGACCCTTTCCTCTAGTATGCTGCTAGAAAAAGCACTTGCTTTGAAACCATTCCTTTGTTTGTTTTTTAATCTGTCATCAAATTACCTATCAGAAAATATTGGATTGCCACAACATAGAGTTGACTTACTATTGTCAGAGTCAGGTCTCAAAGGACAGCTGATAGATCTACATAAGGCTCTTTGCTTTGCTGCAAGCATTGGTGGGGTGAAGAGGGAAACAGAGAGTACTTAACCAGTTAGTGTGCTCCTGGAGATATAGGGATTTTTTTTTTTGAGGGAAGCTTTCTCTTTGACCTTCACATTTCTCATCTATAAAATGGGAATAATGCTTGTGCTATCTACTTCAGTGTTGGGAGGAGGATCAGATAATGCATGTTAAGGGCTTTGTCAATCATTATTAATTAATCCAACCAACTGCTTCATTATACAGAAAAGTAAACTGAGATCCAGAGAGAAGTGACCTAGGGTCACACTGCTAGTTTGTAGCAAAGACAGAACTAGAAACCAGATCTTCTGGGTCTTGCCCCTCCATATTCGATGCTAATTAACCTACACCCAGTTTCTCTTCTCTTTTTTAAAAATAAGTTACCGATAGTTGAAAGGATTTTGAATTTTTCCCACAGATGATCTTGGAGGAGTGGGTCTGGTGGCTGCTCTCTTTTACATCTTGGAAAACTGAGGCTGGGAGAGTGGGAGGGCATATGACTCACTTCAAGGTCACCCAGTGAGTCAGGGGGCTGTGCCAAGGCTTGAACCTTGGCTTCCACGTTTGGCATCCAATGCATCAACCCACACACTTGGGCAGGAGCCCAAGAACAAACTAAAACCAGGTAGCTCCCAGGGCGTTGCCTAGGTAACGGTGCGCGCGCTCAGATCTCAACCGGAAGCCCGGGGAGGACGGGGAGGGGAAGGGGAGCTCGGGGCTCGACGTCTCGCGGGACCTGACGAAAGCGCCGCAAGGAGGTAGGAAGGGAAGTATTCCCTCACCACCCATCGGGACCTCCCTTTGGCTCCGCCCCTCTCGGAAGTCCCCCGCGAGGATTGGCCATCGGCCCGGGGCGGGGCCTGAGGCAGGCGCAGTGCGTACTTCCGGCTGCCGGGTTGACATGAAGAGGCAACGGTGGTGGTTGAGGAGGCGGTAGCGGCGGCCGGTTCCCGGGGGTTGAGGGCTAAGGAGGGACTGAGGTGGCGGTGAGGGCGGCACCAAAGCTGGAGGAGGCGGTGGAGGGCGGCGGCGCCGGCGGCGGAGGAGACGGACCAGGGGAAAGAAGGGAGAAGCCACACCCGCCGGCCAGGACGTCTTAGAGATGGAGAAGGAGTTCAACCAGATCGACAAGGCCGGCAGCTGGGCGGCCATTTACCAGGTGCGGGAACGCCGACCTGGGGTACTGGCTCCTCGGGCTCGGTTAGGCCTTAGTATCTTCTCCTCCCGTCACCGTGGGGGTGCTGCTGGGGACACAAACTCCAGACGGGGGTCTCCCTTCACTCCCTGACCCCCGGGCCCCTGCTTTTTCTGGGCCTGGACTCTGGCTTCAAGTCCGACTGGAGTGAGGATTTCATCCTTTTCTCCCCCCCAGCAGATCCTGACAATGCTCCCCAGGCGCCCCATCCCCCCTTTTTTTGTTCTTGGAGGCAAGCGTACTCTTCCACCCATCAGGACCAGTAAGCCTCTTAAGATGCTCCTTTTTCCCTAAGGTTAACCTTCTGTATCCCACATTCTTTCCTGTAAAATAGGGTTCTGTGTGGCCTCTAACTGCTCTTTAGGTTGGCATACACACAACCTTACCGAGACCCTCTTTGGGCCTCGGGTCTCTCATGTGTAAAATGATCGGGCTGGACAAAATGATCTTAACCTTCAAATCTTATCTTCTCCGACCCCATCTCCTAGACATCCATTCTTTGTCTCCTGGGATTGATTCACCCCCAGTTTCATCTCTCTCAGGAATAGGTTTGGATGCCATGGTAATTTTTCCATTATTGTCTCCCGGAAATAAGATAAATCACCACTTTTCTCTTTCCCTCCCCTTTTCACCACCCCCCCACAAACACTTTCACAGATTTGGCCCAAAGATGATAGGACCCTTTTCTACAAGTGTAGCTTATGAGAATTGGCCAGTTGTGCCATCGTTCTTTGGCATCACAGATTGCCCTTCCAGAAAAGGATAATAAAAGAGGAAAAAGGAAATTGAAACTCCTCTGATCCACACTAAATTGGGATGAGTTCCACATCTGCAAAACAAATCAAAAAAGCTTGATATCTTGCAGTTGGTTAGTTCTGCAGATATCTTGTCTTGTATAACCTGCTTAGGATGTGGTGGTGTATAAATTAAGTTGTTAGGGATTTACCTATTTTTAAAGTATTAGGTTAGGAATATGAAAAGAGATAGTTTTACCAGTAGCCAACTCCTCTAAAAAAAGTGTGCTTAATATTTAATGTAATCGTGTTGGGGAGAGGGGTGTGAAGATTAATAAAATATTATCTTAACACAAGAGAAAGTAAAGAGGGTTTTGTCCCTTTTTGTAAAGGGAGAAACCCACATACTCACTTTCAGTTAATCTTGACTTGAGTTTCAGTTAAGTTCAAAAAAACAAATTGTGAACTCCACTGCAAGGGTTTTAAAATCTATTTTGAAATCCTTTTTTAAAAAATACTGTAAGCTGTTAGTGACTGATAAAAGGCTTTTGGGTTGCCCAAGGCTTTTATTCTGATTTATTTCAGCTGCTTTATTTGAGGGCATTCCTTTTGTATCAGCTCTTGATGGACTTAAGTTCATATGTTGCCAGGCTGTTGTAATCTCTGATATTCAACATGTCAAATTTAGATTACTTGTCTGTTATGTCCATAAGATAACGAAATTCATTTTATTGGCAACTAGTGTAGATTTCTGGAGGATGTTTTTAATTAGAGGAGAACTAGAGCAAAACTCCTGCTTCTAAAAAGTAACTAGTTTGTAATTGAATGCATTAAATACATGTGTAAATGTATGAATGTATAAATGTGTGAATTTGTTTTTATAGTTAGATCCTTCCTATCTTAGGCCATAGTATCATTAAATCCCAAATTTTCCTCAGTGAAGTTCTAAGCTAACTTAGAAGAAAAGCTTGTCTCTGTATACCCAGAAAAATGGAAATATTAAAGACTAGTCATTCTAGCTCCTCAAAAAAAGTTTTGTCACATTTCTACTAGGAGAGTTACATATGCTTTAAAATATGATAGTCCAGCTTCTTTGGCATTGCTGCAATTCTGGAGATGGATTCTGTGGCCTTAAAAAAGCATGGATGGAGTCTGGGCATCTAGGTGGAGCAGTGGATAGAGGACCGGCGCTTAAGTCTGGAGGACCTGAATTCAAATCTGGCCTCAGACATTTGATACTTACTAGCTGTCTCACCCTGGGCAAATCACGTAACCCTATTGCCTAGCAAAAAAAACCAAAACGACAACAACAACAAAAAGCATAGAATCTTCCCCTTCCCCCCTTAACATTTACTTTTACTGTCCTGAAAATTTGAAATTTTTCACCATTGCAAACTATTAAGTTGTTTCTTATAGAACCAAGCCTTTAAAGTGTTATTTTAGGAAAAGATAGGATGTTTCAAAAAAAAAAAGGATGGAACTGATCTTTTAAATCTTAACAGAGTAGGCAGCTTTCTATATTTATATATAATCTACTAATTTTAACCCATTATTTCCCCAAGAAATTAGAAAAGAGCATATGCCAACAGTTAGTGAAGAATTAAGGTATCTCAGATTTTCATGGCATTATATTTTTACTATACTGCTTCTTATTCATACAACTGAGAGGCAGTTTTGCACATTAAGAGTGCTAGGCTTTGAGTTAGGAAGATTAAATCTGTCCTGACACATAATAATTGTGTAACCCCAGACAAATCACCATGCACCAGAAATTGTCTTAGGCTACAGATGCTTCTCTACAGTGGTGGAGGAAATTTTCACACTGGAAGTTCCATAAACTGATGAAATCATGGGTCTGGAAAAATCAACATGCTGTGTTGCTTTTGGAAAATGTCTGATTAATTTTTAGTTTGCTAAGTGCATTATTTTACTGTCAGAATTTGGTAGTATCTTTTCATTCCTCACCAAAAAACCGAAACAGATTTCCTACAAATGAACAAAAGCAGATAATGGAAAAAAGTACTAAATGTGAAAAAGAAAGAGGTTTCTCTTTGAGTTAAGACTAATGTGGCAGGGAAGGCTTGCTTTGGCTGCTTGTTCAAGCAACAGTCTGTGCTGGTTCAGTTTGATAGAGTGTAAACACCGCTTTGAAATTTTAAAGTTGATCAGCAGCACAAAAAATCAATAAGCATTCACACTAAAAAAATTACCTTGATGATAAGTAGCATGTTTGGGCAGTATTTGAAGTTCATTCTTTAGCATTTAAGCAATTATATCATATTAAGAAAATGGAATGCTTTTTGGTCCATACCTCATGTGATTGAGCTGGTTGGACTAGGAGAGCACAAGCATGAAAAGAAACATTTGTCTTGGAAAATGAGACAAAGAAAGGTAGAGGAGGTCTTGAATGAGTAAAAAAAAATAGTAAAAAAAAATCCAGTAAGACACAATCCATATACACTTTGTGGTTTAAATGAAATGGTTGTTTCATGAAACAATAACCAGTGGCTTAAAGGCAAGATTTGTTGAACGTTATAGACAAGTTCACCCAGATTGCCAGCTTTAATAAAAGAAAAAACAAAACCTAGCTATGTAGGAGAGTTAATGACTGATTTTTGTTGTCCAGTCATTTTTCAGTTGTATCTACCTTTTCATGACCTCATTTGGGGTTTTCTTGACAAAGATACTGGAATGGTTTACCATTTCTTCTCCAGCTCATTTTATGGATGAAGAAACTGAGGCAGATAGGGTTAAGTGACTTGCCCAGAATCACACAGTTAGTATGCATCTGAGGCCATATATGAACTCAGGAAAATGAGTCTTCCTGATTTTAGGCCAAGCACTCTATCCATTGTACCACCTAGCTGCCCTAATGACTGATTTGACTGTTAACAAAACCTTATGTTAGTGTTTCACTAAAATTCCTCAATGCTGTTGTGTACATCTGGCATGTGAAAATCCAGTGAGATGGGATATTAAAACTTTATGATACTGTTTGTTTAAAGAACATTGTCTACAAGGAGGTAGTACTTTGGGGGTAAATAGAAAAGAATCTGTACGGTATGAGGTGTTTGCCATTCTGTTAAAAAAAAGAAACAAAGATGAAATGAATAGAAAAGGAGGTTCTAATCATCATCAATGACCTATTAATTCTAAATGGTATATAGACTAGAACAATGCAAGAATTAATTTTAGTTGTTCATAACTTTGGAGATGGCATAAACGCTTATAATCAACAGTATTTTGAGCTAACTGGAAGCACCAGCGGATATGGTGGAGGGGAGAATAACTTAGTGCCATTATTCAGTTGACATCACTGGCATATTTATAGGAATGAATGCCTTGGTACATTTGGAAGTGAACAAGCTCTGCCAGTGGCTCCTAGAAGCATTCAGAGGACAATGATTATGAAAATTGTTTTCAGTTGTGACATTGTCCTGATTCTCCACCCCCTCACCCGTGTAACTGAATTTTTCTTTTTAATATGAAGTCTCTACTAAGCCCTATAATAATGCGGTTGAATTATTTTACTGCATACTTTATAAAGAAATAGGAAACTTCCATTAGAGGTTTTAGATATATGAAGTGCTTTCCCCTCTGCCGTAGTATATGAGATTTTTCTTACTTTCCTATTTTGATACTACTCCTGTAAGCTATAGAATGTATGACAAAAGTGTATATTGAGTCTTTTGTATTTTGTGAAAACATTAGACCTTTTGCATAAGCTGGCATTCTTCTTACAGTGAATGTCATGTTAAATTGCTTCTGAGTTTACAGTAATTAGTTTCAGCAAATAGGTTTCACAAATTCCTTTACTGTGATATGTTTAGTGAGGTTGGTGCTGGGGTTAGTTTGATTTTAAGAAACAATGTATTTTATAATATAAGATTTAAGATTTCCAGGCAGCATCTGTACAGGCTTCCTTAGCAGTATCACAGCCTGAATACAAATCATTACTCTGGGAGGAAAATAACAACATAATACAATCCTAATGCATCCTAATACAATATATAATACAATAATACATCCTAATTTGTCATGATTTATATAGGTTCTTAGTTACCTAGATTTTCAGAGCTAGGAGAGATCTTAGGATTCTAGATTTAGAGCTAAAGTGGACTTAGAGGTTCTCTAGTTCAGCCCTTTATTTTTACAGATGAAAAAACTCAAACCTAGAGAGGTTAAGTAACTTTCCCAAGGTCTCTTCAGTGGTCTGCAACAGCAAAGCTG